CTTAAAGGATTTAAAACAAGATAATAAAAAATAATATTAAAATTTTAAAGTTCACTCGGGAGAATATTGAATAATTTAATTAATTTTTTTAATGTAATTTAGCTTATCAAGATAAACCATTAATTATTTTCTCCCACTCCAACTTTATATTTATCCTCTTTTTCCAGAAATATTAGGAAGCCAACTTTTTAAAGCACCCTGGTAAAACTTTAGTATTTCATTATGATGATACCGAGATATAGCTAATCCTCTTTCTCTCCTTTTACCAGTAGGTACTGAGATGAATATTTTTTATGGCTGAGCGTTGGCAATGAGCCAATAACAATTTCTTGTTGACGGTAATTGGCACAAACAACGGTCTCTTCCTTCTCCTATAATAGGCAGCACATACTCGATTTCTAATATTGTTCTTGTAATAACCTCAAAAATATTCCCCAAATGGGTTTTCGGGTAATATTGCCGGAGTCACAGTCCTTGGCTGGATCCGAATTCGGGTCGTTCTAGTATAAAGACTCGACTGTCGTGGGAACTATTGGATTTTAGCTGCCTCTTACGACCGGCACGCCTTATCGTAGGGCCTTTCTAATCGTTGAACATGCTTTTATTTGATCATATTACGGAAAGAAGCTGATTCTCGTACCTTCTCAGCACTACGTCACAAAGCAATCGGGTAAGGGGATGGCTATACCATCAGATCCGCCCTCTCTTGGTGTTTAATTTTTCTCCCAAGTAAGCAGGCTGGAAAAGTGGTTCCTCCGCATACTATAGATATCAGTCGTTAAATGATCTTTTTGGGTACTCCATCAGTTTTCTGCGACAGCTTATTGGCCAGCTTTCTTATTCATAATTAAACATCTCGGCCTTTTCCCTTTAACTGTCTACAAATACGACAAACGCTTAAAACTTAAAATTTTGACATCTTTCTAAATCAACTGGCAGTCTCAGCAGTCTCCACTGCGGTACATCAATTTCCACCAAACTGACTGTTCTTCCAACATTGTCGAAAATAAACAGTGGGGGTTTGCAAATTGGTAGCTTGAATGCCATCGTGGCGGGAGCAACAGCCATGAGTACGCTCGAGGTACTCATAAAAGATATTTTTGCTCACACCATTTTGCTCTTCCATATGTTGAAAAATCTTGCTGCGATGTGGATTGTTGCGAAACGTTCATCGTCTGGAGTGAAAGCCAGGACTCGGTGACGAACTGGACTCTTTCTTTTGGCCGCTGTATCAAATGCCACCATCACCATCCGTGCCATGAACGCCGACAATTTTAGCCTTTAAACTTACGGGGACACCAACTGGTTGGCGTCAGCGGCACCCTTCCAATTTTGGGATCGGACATTCCAAGTGCAAATCTTTAAATCATAGTCCTTAATAAGTTTGCTATGGTCTCTCATCCGAGATGTTGTTGTATTTTTCATTGGAGCTTGTTTCTACGCAGCGAGTCCTAAAGTCAGCGCACAATCTTGCTAGGCGTGTAGATTTTCTACACATTTATATAGCGAGCCGCTTGCTTTTAGACCAACGCCTACTCGCAGCGGCAACTCTAGTGAACAGACGCTGCAATTATAGAACAAGCAACAAACCCTTAAGCCGAATATGTGAGATCCATTGAAGTTTCTTCTCTTTTAGCAGTGCGCCAAGGCCCTGTACGGCACAAGATTTGCGCACAAGTGCGGAGGAGGAGTGAGTATAGCCGTGCGACTATAACTGCATATTCAGAAGCTTGAGCTTGATGGTTTGAACACCATTACACTCCTATTTGGGGAAATTTTCAAACTAATTGAATTCTACTTTTTTTCAAAGAAACGTTCTAAGTGAAATTTAAAAAAAAAATAAAAAAAATTAAAAATGTGAATTAATGAGATGTCAATTAATTTTCTTATATTAACAGGCATAATAAATAATAAATAAATAAAGACATTAATAAAAAACATACTCGTCCGTTCATGATGACAGAGTTCCTGAAATGACTAGCTAAAATATCATTTCAATGGAATTTTCCGCCGTCAACCATACTTATGTTTGTACATTGATAATTAAAATTACGTATACGTCCCGTGGCACACATTCGCTAGGGTTGCTTTCTGGCACCCAAATACACATATTTTCTTTCTCAAATAAAAATCTTATGCATAAGCTAAGTCAGCAGCAGATCAACTTTCAGAGTAAACAGAAACACTCATATACATACATACATATATGTTAATACAAGTGTATGTGGTATATTCAAAGGTCGATTTACGTCTGAATGAAATATAATGGATATGTGCCGATGCTATTTTTAGCTACAACGCGGCACCAGTTAGCGGCCATTTACGCACGAAACTGAAAGGGAAGTAAAACAAATGTGAAGAAAAGGGAAAATAAAGAATACCAAATATTTAGGCAAAATACTTTCTCTTTGCTTTCGGGGTGTTCATGTGTAAAAGTAAAGTCAATTGAGTAAACTGGCCGAAATTTTTTTGGAACAAAGAGAGAAAGCTTAAATGCTTACATATTTATATATACATATATTTAGCGCGAACTAAAAGCGAAAGTAACTTTGGTGGATACATAAAACGCAAGATAAATAGATGAAAATACGAGTGGGTAGATGATAGGGTTGGGTATGCGATTGTGTGGGTACAAAAATTTGGTACTGTATAAGTGAGCCGCGAAACAGTTATGCCACATGTGGCTAAAAGCAATTTGAGTAAAGTTACGTGAGTTGAGAATCAAAAGTCGAAATAGTGAGGATGAGTGCATAGTCAGCTTTTGCAAAGCAGCAATAGACAAGCCGGGTGCAGCAGTTTGAAATAAATGCTTAAAATGTATATACATTGGTGGGTTAGCCTGAAATGAGAGTGTGAGTTCCTAAAAGTATAATTTGAGTGGAATATGAATTTGAGTGGAAAAGGAATGACTTGGGATAAATTAAAATAGATTTACCTATATTAAAAAAAATATTGCAGAAATTAAAATATTTGCTAAAAGGAAAATATGGTATGAAACAAAACATGGCAAAACAGAAAAGTATATGAAAATCATAAAAATATAATATTGTAAAACTTAAGCTGGTGATAGCCATAGAAAACGGCATAGCATAAAACATGGCATAGAATAAGTTAACATAAATTTGCTAAAAAAAAAATTTTAGCCAAAAATTAAAATATCACCAAATATAAGATACAGTAAACAATCTTATAAATCATGTCCTAACATAAAACAAAGCATAAAATAAATTCACCTAACTTTTCAAAAAATATCCTAAATTTGAGATATTTTTGAAAGGAAAACATGGTATAATATTAAACATGGCATAACAGAAAAGTATATGAAATTCCTAAAATAAGAAAATTGTAGAACATAAGCTGGTGATAGCCAAATTAAATTCGCTAAACAAAAGACATAGCTAAATATTAACGTATCGCCAAATATAAAATCCAGTGTAGTATAAGTCATGGTATAACATAAAACATGACATAAAAAAATTATATTAATTTACTAAGCAAAAAATATTGTAAGTCTTAAAATATTGCCAAAACTTAAAGAAAAAATGAAACACCACATGAAATAAAATTATATGAAACTCTTGAACATACATGGAATGCAGTAGAACATTAACTGGTGGTTACGATGAAAAATGGCATAACATAAATTGTGATCCAAATTAGATATAAAACACAGTTAATAGCACGCGTATCACACGGATATAACTATATAGCTATCACCAGGAGCTACTTCGAGCAGATATCACTGGCAAAAATGTCAACGCCGTGGTTTCGAAAGGAATCGAGAACAGTTGTAGACCACGACCTGGTAGCATCACGCCCATCGCGTAAGGAAGACGTTGGTACATCTGCTTGATTTATGTCCGATCTTATTTAATTCACGGCTTAGGCAACTAGGAGCTTCCTTGTTAAGAGCGCTGGAAGATGAGGTTTCGAAACTGAATCTCAGTACCTTCCTAGACTTCGCAAAAAGCGTTGGAGTTTTAGACTACGACTACTACTACTTCATCTCGAATAAAATTAAACCTCAATCTAACACTACAATGGGTTAAAAGGTTTGTTTTTGTGGCTGAATGCCTAATATAATCAAGCCGACTTTGGCGCCACCTAGCGACATAGATACAGACAAAAAACAATGGCATTTCTGATTATGATTTATCAAAGGACGATGATAAAAATGTATGCATAAACTTTTAGTTGGCTCCATAAGATTTGCCAAATCTTCAACAACTCCACTCCATTGCTAAATCAAATTCTCTCATATCAACTCAGATCTACTAAATTCGGCAATTAGTTTTACTGAACTTCGAAATATATACACTTAATCATATTTTCCGTTTTTGTTCTCTTCGAGTGTCTTCTAGCTATAAATTTGCCTTGGTTTGTATGTGGAATTCGCTTTATAAGCTTGTAAAAAGCTATTGAAATTTCGTTCCACAAAGCTTCACTGGTGCATATTAGAAGAGCTTGATGCCAGCTTTTGTTGTTCATGGTATTAAAAAATAGGATTTTTAGCTTCAGCAATTACCACTCATATCCGAAACAGTATGTTCACTTGACTAAGTAAACAAAGCTTTTGAAGCCCAACAAGTACTCTTGTAAGCAAAAGCTTTCCTTCAAAGCTTAACAACTCAAAACAACTGTTTAAAGCTTTCTAATTTATTGTTATAGGTACTCCAACAAACAGAGAGTGTTAACTTTTGTCACTCCCTCCACTCCTTCATACCTTGCCTACCTCAATGATTTACAGCGTCTGCGCATATCACAACACCTACGCGGCTTCTGCATCATTCTCCTAGCACACTCTATCACCTTACTTTCATTTTAAGGGTTGTGCTCTACCCCAAGACCGTTTCTTGTACTCTCTCTACGCTTTCCATTCGCTGACGTTTTGCCGAGACCAACACGCTCATCGTTGACTGTCGCGTGGCAGGATTTCGCAATGTTTCGCAACAGCTTCGTTGCGACCACAACCTGATGCTTTGCATCAGTTCAACCTGGTGAGCGTAGACTAAACGTTCGAGTTGAGCGGTTAAATAGGTGCAAGTATCCACACAGCATAAAAAGTAGTATAAAGTAAAAACAACAGAAAAATATCCTCAGTAAAGTGAAAGTAAGCAGTAGTAACGGTAAAGCAGCCTCAGCAGTGAGTAGTTGTAGCAGTATAGCAGTAACGGTAAAGCAACGATATCTAGCTCTACGATAGTCCAACTTCCGTACCTGTAAAGCGCTTATCAGCAGTAAAAGTTTGGGGGAACAAGTAAAGACACAGGAATCTCAATTTACCATTGCGTTTTGAAACTTGTTGAGTGCATTTTCACAACAATTGCCTACATTGTGGTTGTTGTTGTTGTTGCCGCGTCGCAAATTTTCTCATTACATTTGCCAAGCAAGTTTTCGCTTAACATATGGCAGCTTTTGTGCCAACATCACTGAATGACAATATGCAACACGCTTATCGCCAACTTAGCCGTAATGAGGCCACAGCTGTTAAATGGTAAGTAAATATGTAAGTTGATGTGTTTTGCTTGTGAAAACCAAAAAAAAAAAAAAAAAAAAAAAAAAAAAAAAAACAAAAAAAGAAACTACAATAGAAAACTTTCAAGTAGTCATAACTTGGCAAAGGAGCTCTCCATCTTGCACGAGCACACTTAACAAGCTGATGAGAGGTATCATCAGGCTGATGAGGTGTCAAGTTCCAGATGTGGGCATTTATTTCTTTTTCTTTTTTTACATTTTTCACAAAGTGTTGTAAGTGTAGATAAATTCAATTTGTTGAAATAAAACAGCAAAAAAGCTGAAAAAAAATTACAAAAATTTGTTTATTACCGAACTCACTTATTACCCAATAGATAAGTCTCATAAATATGTTTTGACTATCAGCAGCATAAATGAAAGCGAATTAGTCGCTTGGAAAAATGTCCAGTCATTAATTGCGAAGTTATTACGACGAAATATGGTTTAATATATATTGCCCATAAATATTTGCTGAAGACTTGTAATAAAGATAACATATGCACACAAGTGGGCGTGCTACTAAAGAGTCCTCAGAACTATTCATATTATAATCTAGCACACACACACACACACACACACACACACTCACGTACACTATAGTTCGGTAGTACACAATAATTAATAGGAAAATTGAAAAAATATGTTATCTAATGATAAAAAAAAAATTGTTGGAAAATATGGCTGAAATAAGTACTTATATATCTCTTTTATCGCTATTTGTTTTTGTATTTTATGATACTGGTATTATTATCTAATTATTTATTTATAATAATTAAATGAACGGAAATAGATAAATGGGGCAGGATATTGTACTTAGAAATACTTAACTCATTGTAATATCAATATTTGAAATATATATATATGTATGTGAATAATAATGTAGATATAGAAACAAAAAAAAAACACACACATTTATCAAGTTCTAAATAATCAGATTTTTATCAACTGGAAGAGCAACATCTGTTTGACGGCGGATTAATTAAGAAATAGAAAATTAAGACTCTGGACACACTAACAAAAACCAAAAAAAAAAAAAAAAATTATGAAATAAAAATTTAAATTTTATTTAATATATTTTATTTTATATTATTTCTATTGCTTTTTTATTCAATATTATGTAAAGTTATTTTATTTTTTATTTTTGATATATTATAAATATATTATTTTTACTCTATTTTATTATATTTATTTTATTTATTATATTCATTACATTTTACTTCTACTCGGTGCCCGATAGCCGAGTGGTTAGCATTGCATATTGCCATTCGGCTGTGATCTGAGCCTTGGTCCGACAGAAACCAAAAATTATAAAATAAGTTAGTTTTTCTAAAAAAAACTTTCTTTTCTTTTATTTCAGTATAGATTTGTTGGTTTAATTTTTTTTTTGTTTAGTTTTTTTTATTTAAGTTTATTCTATCTTTTCCTATTTCCCATAAGTTTTATTTTATTTTATTTCACTTTAATTAATTTTATATTAATATATCAGGTGTACAACTTGGCTTCAGCCATTTTTTTCCAAAATTAAAAGCTTTCTTGCGAAAAAGTGCTTGCAGATATATTATTCAAAGTAATTTTCGGATCCCGGTTTTAAGAGCTCGTAGTAAATCACACCGAGCTGATCGCACCAAATACAAATCATAACCTTGTTTGTCTTCGACATCGAAATCACCATTTTTAAAACGTTGAAACCACTCCCGACACGTTCTTTCACTCGAGCAGCAACACTGTAAGTTTTTGAGAGCATCCGATGCGCTTCAGCTGCATTTTTTTTCGAATTGTAACAGAAAAGTAAAACTTCGCGCAAATAGCGAGGATTAGGCACATAAACGGACATTTTCGAGCGTGAATAAAACGAAATCAAGAACAACTGTCACTGAAACGGCGATGACAATTCGTTAGGCACTGTCCACACTCACTTTAAAGGCATTATCATCTATGTATTTCAACCAACCTCAGCCGGTACAGCCACCTATCGGAAAACGGCGGAGGCAAAGTTGTACACCTGATAAATTAATTGTACTTAATTTAATTTAAATTAAGTAGGTTTAACTTATTTTAGTTTAATTTTATTTGGTATCAATTTAAAATTTCCTTCAATTCAATTTAAATAGTTTTAATTTTAATTCATTTTATTTTATTTGGTCTAGTAAAAAGTGATCAATTATTTTTGCCCTAAATTGAAGGCTCTATTTCCCATAGTTGAAATTATACGATTTATGCCAATTATGCATCGTTTTGATAGATAACTTCTTGTTCTCTTTAGGATTATGTCATTATGCCTCTCTAACATAAATCATTGTCCCTACTGGCCAGAAATTACGACAAATGATTTTTACAAGCTCCTCTTGAGATAAATTCATTACCAGCCAAATCTTTCACAATAGACGGGAACAAATATTTATCATTTGTTGAGAGGTTCGGACTATGAGGTTGTCCTGAGAAACAGAATTCTCTTTCTATGGGCCAATGCTGGGCGTCTCTGGACGTTTGCTTCTTCAAGGTATTTACTGACAGTACACAAGAAAATCTTCACTTCCGTTAATACTGGCCTAAATACTGTTAGTGCCAGCTCACTACCCTTCAACCACGACCATTCTTCCTGAACTTTGCTATATGTTCCACTTCCACTTGTTCAATTTCCATTACGAATCATTCCGTTGAGTTTGTTACGATTCCGCAGCGAGTAGTAGATTGGAATTCGATTCAAGAGGTTTTTTCTCGTTGACTTATGTGACTGACTTGTTGACCTAAACGGGAATATTTATGACTTATGTTCGAAAGTAAACTCCTATCTCGGCGACCTTTCTCACTTCTTCACTGCAAGACTATTAAAAATAAAATCGATAAAATCCTCGTCTACCCTTTTCACCAGCTGGACGAAGAAGTACAGGCTCGAACTGGATGTGAAAGTCGATGGCGTCAAAATTCCGACTACAAACTACCCAAAGTTACTGGGAGTCAAATTTTACAGCCTGCATTCCTTCACTCCACACACGAGCACAATTGCCGCAACAAAATCCTCAGAGCGCAGTTGAAGAAGTTAGAGTCCTATCTGCTGGGATGATACAGTAGGGAAACATGGAATAACAAAACGATTTGATCTAGCTATAACTAAAAAGCAGTGACATATTTTAATGAAACTAGTTAAACAGATTCAAGGTCACTCTACCTCCCACCTAATGGTTATTTGGATAAATCAGTAACTAAATAGCTTCATATTTCATCACATTCGGATGGACATGTACTCGAAGACAAGATTCCTATATTATAGTAAAATAAATTTTAGATATTTTTTTCAATATTGCATTAATTATATATATAATTGGCGCTTTCTCGGCAGAGATCCTCCTCCATTTTGCAGTTTTTCGTGTTGATATTTTTCCAACAAATGTTGGGACCTACATTTTATACTAAGCCGCCTCCGAACGGCTGATGGTTTTTAGGAGGAGCCTTTAATTCATATCAGAAATGCATTTGGACGAGTTGACATTCTCTGCAGACGGTCGGCCGCAATTAGCTTAATTTTTTTTATTTAAGTTAATTTTCTATAACTTTTTGGATGTTAGTACGACAACCGGATATGAACCCGAGCCTTACATTTATTAAGACCAATACATACATATTATTTTAATTTATTTTATTTTATTTTATCTTTTCATTTTAGTTTAATTTTATTATACTTTTTTATTCCCTTTTATTTCTTATTATCATACATTTTTAATATTGGTTTATTTTATTTTACTTTATATAATTTTATTCAATTTCATTTTATTTTAACTTCTTCTATTTTGTTTTATATTATTTTATTTTATTTTATTAATTTTATTTTATTTTATTTTATTTTATTTTATTTTATTTTATTTTATTTTATTTTATTTTATTTTATTTTATTTTATTTTATTTTATTTTATTTTATTTTAATTTCTTCTACTTTGTTTTATATTATTTTATTTTATTTTATTTACTTTATTTTAGTTAATTTTATTGTAGTTTTATTTAAGTTTATTTATTTTATTTTATTTTATCTTTTCATTTTAGTTTGATTTCATTACATTTTTTTATTCACTTTTATTTCATATTATGATATTTTTTTTAATTCTATTTTATTTTATTAAACTTTATTTAATTTAATTTTATAATATTATATATTATTCAATTTCATTTTATTTTAATTTCTTCTATTTTGTTTTATATTATTTTGTTTTGTATATATATTATTATATTATATTTTTATTTTTTTGAAACCATTTTTTTACTTATTTTATTATTATTTATTTTATTTTTATTGGTTTTCATTTTATTTTTTTTTTTGTATATTTATTTATAATTTAATTTATATTTATTGTTTTTTTATTTTCTCTTATTTTTTTATTTTATTTTAAATTATTTCAATTTAATTTCATTTTTGTCCATCATAACTTATATCCATTACTTTGTTTTTGCAATTCATGCAATGTATGCGGTCATACATATTTATTTTTATGTCATGCAAATTAAAATCAATAAAAAAAAATTTTCACATGTGGATAAACAAATTTTGTAATATTCGGCTCTTTGATTGTCAACTTTGAACTTTTGCTCGCGCTGGCTGTTTTTGTATTATAAGCTTTTACGTGTTTTTGAATTTCGCTGACTATATTACATACATATATGTATATAAATGTAATTCCATTGTGGCATAAATCCAATACTAATAAACCAATATGCGCTATTGACTATCACTTCAAAACAAAAACAAAACCAAAGGCAAAAAAAAAATATATAACTGAACCAGCACTGAAAAGCAAATGGAAATGCGAAAAATGAAAAGTGAAGTGCTCGTAAAAATTGCGATCACGTTCATACCAATCAAGCCAATACAATGAACTGCGGGCGCCTTTATTTTCGCCATAAACTCAAAAATCGACAAACGAATATTGGAAACTACATATACATACATATGTGTTTGTGTAGTCACAAGTGTCTGCCTGTTATTCACGTGCTTTTGGTGAAGTGTAAAAAAAATTGAAAAAATGCAAATATATAAATTGAAAAGTTGGAAAAACCATGCAGATCGAACACCCGGGCAGGTGTTGAGGCTGACACCGCAAACAAATGGCTCGGATGGCGTGCAATTTTTCAATTGTCAGTCTCACTTCCACTCTCCCGTGTGAATTTGCATTTTTTGTAAAATTTTCCCATGACTTTTCTAATTTATTTATTTTTTCGTTTATTTTTTTTCAATTTCTTCACTTATTCAAATGGTGCTTGAAATTTGAGTTTGCTTATATATGCATGAGTTGTTTTAGTAAGAGTTTTCGTATGCAGTGCTGTGCTGGAGAAAGGAAACTTGGAACACTTGAGATTTTTGTATAGTGAAATTAAATGTGACAGTTTTAGGTGAAAAGAATTAAAATCGATTAAAATTAGTAAAATCCAAAGATTTGTTGTTGTATAGCTTTTGTCTACATCGATAACCTTTCGATAAGGATGCTGTTTCGTATTTCAATCCGGACAACGAGGCATATCCTGAATGAAAGTAAACTAAGGCTCTCACGACTGGAAGGATTTTAAATTCGTCGGGTTGGAAACCCGATTCGGAGTTCATACGTTGAGAAATGTCGACGTAAGAACCCGTTTCTTCAACAATTTCAATCCAAGTGCGAAATACGCGACGACGTCTGTTATCTTCTTTGGATCAAATATCTGCAACAAGAAGAGGTCATCTACTTTGCAGAATACTGTGAGAGTTTGAAAAGCCTTTAAAGGGCGATTTAGAATAAGATGAGTGGCTTGCTTAAATGGGTTACACGGTACCATTCCGTGCATTTCCATGATCTAGCATATTACTTATTGGATGTGATTTAAATTACCACATTTAATCCAAGAATACTTTAACCTGGTAACTAAATTTTCCTGCGATTCTTTATTTGCTGGGAGTATAAATAAAAATAAATATATTCGAGCTTCAGCAATCTCGAGGGTCTAATGCATGTAGATATGGAAAGCGGAAATAATTATTTTCCATCATTTTGTCTGCGAGTTTACCTCAAGATATGTGTGTGAATCCTCATTAAACCATAAGAATAATACTACATTGAGAGAAGAAGATATCCCCAATCATGCTCAATCATCCCCATCCGAAATCGTTGAGACACCTCAATCGCAGATTTAATTTTACTCGTTTCCTTAGCGCACTCTGGTGGTGTGTATTTTAATCCCTTGGCCTGAGAGCTGTTTTCCAGTTTGAGCTGCTGCAAAAACATAAAAACTCAGAACACTTTTCCTGAACGAATCTTGTTCAAATCTGCTCTTTTTTTGAAATATCATCTTAAAGATAGTACACGTTGTAGTGAGGAAGAAAGTAAGAGATACAGCACTAAATCAGGTGTGAAATGGGAAAGCACTTGTTCTAGAACTCTGTAGACCAACTTTCGTTCATGAGTCGGCTTATTATACAATATATAATTGATAATATTATAACCGCTGAAGCGATTTTCCAACAAGCTCCTCCTCCAGGTTATGAAGGATGGTTTTCTTATAAATGGAGAGGGCTACAGCTTTTTCTAAGCGACTTCCGAACTGCCGATGGAGTTTTAAGATGAGCTTTCATTTGCTGAAAGAAATATAAGTACTCTTTGAGACGCATTCTGTGTTCTGGCCAGGTTTGAAGCTATGTTTCTCCATATAGTAGTACGCACTTCTCGGCTAATGCATTTTATTTTCGTTGTTTAAGCGGCTTTCTAAACGCAGCTTAGAAACAGGCAAAGTTTTCGACGTTATTGTGCCAGTGATACGAGGGTTTCAAGAGCGAGCTTGAGTTCTTCGTCTTCTATGGTTGGATTCCGAGCACGCCATTCATGCGAAGAGTTGCTGCCCTAACTTGTAGGCAGCACGTCGTGCCAGCGGTGATTTAATTACGTTCAAAAAGTTCAGTCGAAGAGAGAGTTTTGATTACCAGTAACTTGGCGTTGTTTATTATCTGAATTTTGACATCGTCAATTTTTAAAATCAGTTCGAGCTAGTAGCTCTTTGTCCATATGGTGAAGATGGCGCCCGAGAGTCTTACAGCTTGTAGTGCTAAAGCAATAAAAGTTGTAATCGTAGTAGAGAAATGAGAGGACGACTAACACGTCTGTGGGTTGGACATTTATGTGAGGATTTTGGATATTTTTCTCGCTCAGAGTTATCGGTCCGAATTATCTTGAATAGCATTACTTTATGCCCCTCTGTCTGAGTTCCTCAATGGCCTATAAAACTCATTCCATGAACGAAAATCTTTGTTGGTTCTGATAGAGAGAAAAAGGAGTAACAGATAGTGACTTTTGAAGTTCACGGTTGGAAAACATTATCACTAGAACACATCTTTTGAAAACTAGCCTAAAGAGAATTCCTTTAGACTAAACATATAATAACAAAAAATCATAATTCTTATATTAGCCTACCCTAATCCCAGCCTTAGCTGCTCATTGATTTTTCTTCATTAACAAGCCTCCCACTGAACAAAAAAATGGGGGAATGATTAAACAAATTTGCTAATTTACGATTTTCAAAATCTAATAAACCGCCACCACTTAACGAACTTTCGTGAAACCTGTCGCATGTCGACTATTAGCTGCCGTGCATTTGATACTCACCGCACTAAAGAAGGTCCTTTCTGAATGCGCGCCTACCTCCCCGCTTTGGATGTCTCTATATATTTGTCAGTTAATTAAAGTTTTGTCAGCGAAACGCGATATTTCCCCTCTCTGTCTCAAATTCCCATTGATTTTTAATTCTTTTTCGCGCACGCGGAGAGGAGGCGGTGATTATTTCTCAAACACACTTGAGCAAAGAATGGAAATCAAATATGTGCGCGGCGAATGCGCTTGCAGGTGTGGCAGGAATTTTTTTGTTTGTCCCTGTGTGTATGTGTGAGAGCGTGTGTGTGAGTGAGAGTGGCTGATTGCGCGAACCAAAGCGTATTAGGGTCGTTTAGGTCGTTTAGGTCGCTTTGGTCTTTCTGGTCGGTTCATCGTAGGCGAGAGGTTGAGGGTCGTGTAAACTGTTGAATTTATTTGTTTTTGCATGTGTTTTTTTTTCGATACGTATGTATGCTATTTGTTTGTTGCAGTGTGTTTCCGCTGTGAAATGACCTGTGTCGCTGGCAAATTACATCGCGTAAGGTTATAATAGATTTTTGTTAAATACAAATTTATGGGTATTAAATTGTATGTTTGTATGTTAGAGCATCATTGCGCTTTTTATTTGTGCTTTGCAGCTGGAAAAAAGGTAGCAAATAATGGCTTACAAATCATTAAGGGATTTTTACCTACGATTGCTATTTTCTATTCCCTTTTCAAATTAACCTTTAAGGATTAGGAAGGCAAAATGGCACATAAAGATATGTACGTACATGAACATATACATATATACAGTATAATAGGATATACATACACCATTTTGCTTGGTAAATTAAATTCTAGGATTTGTGATGTCTAATACATAATGACCGGTAATCAGAGCAAAAAAAACTGAAGACAGAAAGATCTCTACTTAAGGAGAAAACAAAGAAAAGCCAAATTAGGTACTATTGAGCACATATTTAGCTATGTATTTTGTACTTAGGAAAGACTGAACTCACAATATTTTTTGATATAGTATTAAAAATAATCATCCCTGGCTTCCCAGCGCTTTTGAATTCTCAGCGAGTAAAGCCGAATGTACTATGAGGTATGCAAGAGCGAGTACCAATATGAACCCGAAGGTAATGGACGAACGAATGAGCTTTGTTTTTGTTATTGAAAAAGGTAAAAAAGTACAAAGTTCTCTAAGTATCGTCCATTGGAAGGGACTGCTTTTTCACATCTTTCCGCTAATTTTTAGAATACCGTCTCTAAAAAATGAGTTCTCTCTCTGCCGTCGGTCCAATCATTAAATCATTCTTCATATTACCCAAGCCGGTAACTCTTCACATAGCCAGTTTGCATCCATCGAAAAAACCATTAGTTCGAAGGAGGAATGGTGGAGAATGCAAAGCGTGAGGGGTGGTAAGGCCTCTCATAGCGCCAAGTCGTTTCAAAGTCGCTGATATTTGGCCGCTTTTCAAGAAAAGCACGGCTCGAACGTATTAGCTGTCGTCGATAATGCTTCGCCTCAATGATTTCGCAGAGTTACCATGGATCTCGATCCAGTTAAGCCTCCAATCTTTCATCTTTTTGGGTTGACCAGTACGATCTTTTCCTTCGTCTCTAAATCAAAACCACTCTATTTCAGACTGGCGCAGATTCAACATATATTTCCACAACTATTCGATGGGCTTCTTTAACCCATTAACACTCATCTCTCAATCGCTGAAGGACGAGCAGTCACAGGGGAAATACTGAAAAAAATTTTTTCTCCGCTCTTTTGGGACGACATCTCATCGTGGTAGCTGCCCCATCGGTCCACTTTCAATAGCGCTAAGTTCTCTTTCACTTTTCGCCAACAAGACTACGGTTTAACATTATGTTCTACCGTGGAATTGCCTTATTTGAGCCTTTCTGTTTTCAAATTCGCACCACATGAGTTCCAAGTAATATTCGCTGTGTTTTCTCGCGAAAATGATTTGTTGTATGCCTCACGTTCAGGCCCATCACTGCTGGTCACTATTGACGATAAGCCTACCTTCCCTCCAATTGACTAAGAAAGAAGGGGATGGTTTGCATTCCGCAAAAGGTTTTCTTTTCCAAGATTTTATAGGATCCATAAGGTTTTAGCTCTTGGTGCTGCTTTATTAATCACTTGCACATTGATAAATATGATATATAGGATAACTCTACGAGTCTTTGTTGAAGGAGTTCATATCGCGCTTGCTCGGTAGATAAGTTATTTGCACACATTTTAAAAGACGTATGAAGGCAGATATGTCTATGGTACAGCAATTGTTGAGATCCAAGAGGGACATTTAAGATTCTGGAATACCTCTAAATAAGCTACTAACCATTTAAACAGTGGTACGGTTTGTAAACTGGCTTTCAGTCCATGTAGTTAAGTTAATTGAAATCCATCTACTGCCATACATCGAAGAGAAAAATCCTTATCAAGAGGTTCGATATACCAATTTCATCGATAGATAACAAAAAGTCACCATCCATCCATCGAACCCAAGAATTATTCCGTAAGTATTGGAGTTACTTTTTGTGTTGCTCAGCCGAAACTGGAACTGGAAGCTTGAAACCTTTTTATCTAAAGAAATCTTTAAATTCTAGTAAAGGTCAGCCGAACTCTAAAGGAGTACACTGATCTGAGTAGAATAAAAAATGCTCTCAATATTGAATACCTTTATCAATCAAATACTTGGATAGGGGACTGCTAAAATACAATTAACTCATTGTGGTCGCCCTTCGGCAGGAAACGTTAAGCCCACCAATGTTTTTTTGACATGAACTGGAAGCAGTTAGAAACCGGTCGTCTCACCATTTGTCGGAAAGCCTTTCAAGCACCTACCATTCGCATCAGGGGTTGTGCAGTGCCATTCGGTAGGAACTCTGCTTACAGTGGGATATCCTGTTGTCCTAGCCGTCTCAAAAGCAGGCTTGCTAAACGCATTCTACGTCGTCTCCAACAAGACGATTAATTAATTTTATATTTAAAGCAAATATGGGAAAATCCAAAAACAGCAAAAATTGAATATTTTTTTTTAAAACAACAAATATTTTTTGTGTTCAAAAATGGCATTTCAATATGTCGTTCACTTCCCTTTCTTATTTTAATAAGTCTAGAAAAAATTCAACTTTTTTCACGCTTTGCTTCATTGCACAATAAATTCTATGTTCGGGCTCTGATTGTTTTTCTTTTTTCCCCGTAGCCATCAATTACGATTTCGCTGCAGCCTTCTCTTTCCTTGTACATCTGTTGTGTGTAAATTTGTATATTCTTGTACCGAAATTAATTCGTAGAAATTTGAGCCGTTTCCAACTCCTCCCGCCTTGCTTAATTTACATATTAACACTTTCTAAAAAAATTGCTGTCTTATTTGGGGAAGTGAAGCAATAAAACTTTTGCAGAACCTCTGCTCTGCTGGAGGCAAAAATAATGAAAATTTCGAGAGAATGTGAATAACAGCTCAGAGAAGTGAGAAGAAGCAAAATTACAATAAAAATTTTAACATGTGTTGAGTTTTATCTTCACTCTTAAGCAAGAAACAAGAAAAACAATTACCGAAAAATTTGGGGAAAAAATTTAAAAAATTCACTTATTGCACTTTGCTTAAGAGTCTGTCCTGCACATGCACACATTTACATGCACATACACGCTTTTGGATATTTGTAACAGTGCACATTTGCTGCCCGAGTTGAGCTACAGCTTGTGAGTGTGTTACGTTTGGAAAACCCAAGTAGCAAAATATTTTGGGAATTACAAAAGTTATCCGCAATAAAAGGTAGCAACTTTACTTAAACTCATAAGCATCCAAATAAGGTAGAGACAGGCCGAAGTACAGTCGGAGGAATTCTAGTGAGGTAAAAGAGGAGTGCAAAGGACTGTCGTAGAAGTTAAGCTATCGCCATTTGTTTGTAGCTTACAGTTAGGGACGCGGCTAGCTGCGGCTGCTCAAGTTGGGCAAAAACCAAATTTGTAAGACACAAATTGTTATGAAAATTACAAGGCGAAAATGCAAACAAAGAAAGGGAAAAAAGTGACAGACTAAGCAGAAGAATACTTCTTAGCTTTTCGTGTGAGTGTGTGTCGACAACAGCAGCTTTAGCTATAATCGGTGCAGAAGAGGAACAGCAAGAGCCAGAAGGTGGCAACCGAAAATATTGAGGAATGCAGCATCAGCTTAAGTGATGAGTAGCTGAAAGTGAATGAAAAAGTTACGCTTGTAAATTACGAAAATTGCTAAAAACCCAGAGGGAAGGGTGGCAGTGGCTTTTGTACTTGCTTTGGTGGGGTGTTTATTAATGTTCTTAACACATGAAATTATGATGAGGAAAAATACACTCACTTGCAAGCATATACTATATTACAAAAATTAGAAATAAAATTAAAAAAATTAAAATAAAAAAATAAAAATAAAATAAAATTAATTCTATTAAAATAATGTAAAATAAAATAAAATAATTGAAAATAAAATAATGTAACGTAAATCAAATTAATTGAAATAACATAAAATATAATAAAATTAAACTAAAATAAAATAAATGAAATAAAATAAAACAACATAAAATAAAAAAAAATTAAATAATATAAAATGAAAATAAAAATAATAAAACAATATTAAATAAAATTATATACAATAAAATAAAAAATAAAAAAAGAAAATAAAATTAAATAATATACATTAAGCTAAAATAAAATAGATTAAACTAAAATAAAAATAAAATAAAGTAAAATAAAATATTTTCAAATAAAATGAAATGAAATATAATGAAATGAAATAAAATAAAATTATTTAAAATAAAATAAAGACAAACAAGATTAATTGAATTAAATTAAATTATAATAAATTGTAATTAAAAAAAAATAGTATAAATGAAAAAATATACAATAAAAAAAAATAAAATTATTTAAAATGAAATAGAATAAAAAAAAATTAAAAAAAAATGAGATAAAATAAAATAAAATAAAATAAAAATAGAATCAAATAAAATAAAATAAAAAAAATAAATAAAATAAAATAAAATAAAATAAAATAAAATAAAATAAAATAAAATAAAATAAAATAAAATAAAATAAAATAAAATAAAATAAAATAATATAAACAAAACAAAATGGAATAAAACACAATTAAGCTAAATTAAATGAAAAAAATATATTAAAAGAAAACAGAAAAGAATAATTTAAACTTAGCTAAGGAAAAAAAAGTAATTATAGATATAAAAAGAAAAAATTTAAAAAATTAAATGTAATAAAATATAAAAATTAGGCATGGAGTGCATAAAATCGGGTTTTCAGTTTACATTCATTTGGAACTAATTTTGATTACCTTCTCTTTATGCCACTGATATAACTTCATTTGACTAATTTATACATCATCAATTCAAATTGGGAGCTTAATCCGTGTTTTTTTTTCTTATTAATAATCCCTAACTTTATTTATTTTTTTTTTCAATCTATAGTTCAAATATTTATTTATTTTTTTGTTATTTTTTTTGCATTCATCGAACTTTCTACTGACCACTCGAAACCATCAAAGAATTTTTCTTTCCTTTTATGTATTTTTATTTTCAACGCTCAACTGCGCTACTCTTTGCGTGTGCGTTTCTTAGGTGGGGGTGAGTTCGTTAACATGCGTGGCTTGTTACTTGCAGTTATTTATTTGAAAGTTTAATTAAAACGTTCAGTCGAAAATTTGTTTGTTTGCTACAAATTGTTTCGTATTTTTTTCTGAGTGATTTTTTTCATCTGCTATAATTTTAAGTACATACATATATAATTTTTAATATTCAACGCTCAAAATTCTCTAATCAAACTTTGTCCTTCTGGTTTTTCCTTTCCTTGAAGGCGGTTGAAACTTTTATTTATTAACGACATAACATGAGCCACTGAGTTGTCGCTGGTTTGCCTCGACTGGTTACCTCGACTGTCGACTTAAGCTTTCCTTGTAATTCTCTGCATTAAATTCAAGTTCCGCTTCTATACAGCCATCCTACCTCATATTGTTTCCCCGCTAAAATTAGCTGCATTAACAATTAACTGTAGTTTGTGAAAGTTCGCAGTCGTCACAGTCCTCTCGGCTCAGTGCTACACCGCTTCGCAGCTCAATTTGTTTCGCCTGCACCTCTGAGTACCAATTGAATATTGGCAATTCCAGCAATCGTGTTCTGGCTTTGGATTCATTTTACACAGTTGAAGTCTCAGTTGGCAATTAAAAGTTGCTAACAATATTTTCTTTCTCATTTTTATGGCAGCTTTAAGGTCAATACTAGTTAAGGCTAATTATAACGTAGGCGTGTTGCTTGTGTTACTCACAGTTCTGGCGAAGTATTTTTTTTTTGGAAGTAAATTTTCTGCGTGTAATTAATCATATTTGATTTAATTATTGGTTTCTTGTGAATTGCATAAGTTTCTGGGCGGAAGGTTTACTATTTGCGAAGTTTGCAGAGGGAATAGGCCCAACGCATTATTGCGTAAGGATTGTTAGCAATGTAATAATGTCTTTTTGATCAATCCTTATTCTATTATTTTCTGTATGTAATATTTTTTTGACATTCTAATTATGGAAAATATGTTCTCTACATCTTTGACATGCAATTACAGTTAAATTATAAGTAGTCGTAGTCATCAGATTATAAGGCGTTGTTTTGCACTGATGGCTGTTATTATGATTTATCCCAGTCCAATTTTTTGGATTGCAATATTTTATGTTATGCTCTTCTCATCGTAGAGAATAATTTTATGTTATGAAATATATTATGTTATGCCATTTTTTTGGTGAAACAAATTTCTTGTTACGCTTTCGCAATTGCTTTTTTTTTGTAATTTTAGCGATTTATGTTATACCTTTTTTAATGGTAATAATAATTTAATTTAAAACCAATTTGTTTGTTTTGCTTAACACTTACTAATTTTGTGTAAACTTAACACTTTATGTTATACCTTTATTTTTATAAAAAATGTTATACCATATTTTATGGTGAGAAAAATGTCATGTGAGGAATAGTTTATGTTTTGCTATAATGTTTAATAGCTTTTCTTAATTCTAACATTTTATATTGTTTATGGTGAGAAAAATTTTTATACCATAAAATGTGTATATGGTGGGCAAAATTTCTTGTTAGAAGTAGTTTATATTTTGCATCATCTTTAGTAGGGTTTTTTAAATTTTAGAATTTTATATTACATTATACCTAATGGTGTGAAAATTGTTAAACCATATTTTAAGGCTTGGAAAATGTCATGGTTTTAATATCTTAATTTATCCTTATACGTTTATAGTTTTATCTTGGTTAAATTTTTTTGCTTGCAGTTATTTATTTAATATCAAATTTTATGGTTAGAGACATTTTATTCATTACATATTTTCCGTTTTGACAAACGCAATTTTTTAAAATTTCAACGAAAGTCATATTTAGCAATTTTCTATAGATTTAACCTATTTTGCTATTTTTTGTATTATGGTGAGAAACATTTCAAGTTTTGAAATTTTTTAAATTTTTCAAAATTATGCAATTTCTAAATTCTATGCTAAGCCATATATTATGGTTTGAAATTTATTATAATACTAGTTAATATGATTTGTTTGATTTATTAAAAGTGTCGCATATTTGAAACGCAATAGAGGCGGACATACATATGTAGATAGTAATTGAATACATGAGGTTAAGTCGGATCGAACTTACTTAAACGTCGCTACGTCCATAGTTTTAAGACACACATCGACCGCATACAAATAAGTACACTCTTTTTTGTGTCTCTAGTTTGAAAAACATTGCTGTAAACTTTGCAAATTAGAGCAGTCGTTTGGGCCCTTTGCCCATTGCTGATTGAAGCTCCGGCAGCTTTTCCTTGTCCAGAAAGCATTGGTTGGATCTGTCGAATGCTGAACACTTCTAGATTACGTGCTCCACTTCTGCACTTCTCGCTCTCTATCCAAATGACCTGACGGCCAGTAAATATGAGCACTGTGTGGAAGTAAGGCTTTAAAGGTTTATATAAATGTACATACTCTAACTTTGAACATCTGCAGAATCTCTGCCACCATTTTTACAGAAAGTATTTCGGCTTGGAAGATACTGCAATGGTTTGGTAGCTTGAATTACCTTTTTATTTCTGGTTGGACGCAGTATAGTGAAACCCTCACTCCGTAGTTCATTTTAGACCTATAGAAGTCTTTATTTGCCAGCCTTAGTATAAGAATTTTTCCAAGTTTAGCACTTTCGGTTCGTTTTGTTTCGCTTAGCAGTGTAAATACCACCAATGTCTAAGGATATTTACTGCTCGTTGGTATAGAGTAAGCCCATTTTTACGCCGAATTTTTCCTCCAGCCAATTTTACAGAGAGGCTGAGAGGGAGAGAGTTCACTTGAGAACATCGCTACGAATAAAATGCACTAGGCAAATATTTGAAACGCTTTTAAAGAATATGAGTTCTGAATAGAGGTTGCTTTACGGTCACATGGAGTTCGTTGCGAATGTCAAGCTCTAGGCAACTTATCTAATTTCAATGCCAACTGAAAGCTGTGCGCCTTGTTTTTTCAATATCAGAGCGAAAATTAATATTATATTATCGACGGCTGACCGTTTATGAGCGGCTTCTTTGATGGGTTAGACTGTTGCGTTAGAAAGAAATTAATATCCCATCTCGCTTATATTGACTCTCAGAGCTGAGCAGTTTGAATGAATTGTCAGAGCTGTTAGTAGTGTTGTGATTCTCTCTTCACTCTGAATTCCTTATTCTCTGCTGGTCAGTGTTCAACCTCATACTTACAACTAGCACCAAAATGGCCAATTAAAAGCTAACTGACGTGTTTTTCTAGGACGAAATAATCTATCCCTAAGATCCACCTACACCTCCAGCTACAATTTTACGTTGGTGGGAGAGAACTGTCCTCAAATGCTTAGTTGCCATACTAGGAGTGGCCAAATGAGCTATATAAATGACTTAGGTACTGCTGCTTCTGCATAGGACATTAACTTCTCCCTGTCAATCAGCCAATCAACTGAGGCTCGCCGAAGTGTTCTGGTCTATTTTTACAGCCGATTCCGCCTGACTATTCACCTTCTCAGTGGAAGAGTTAAAAATAGTAATTAAAGATTTTTCTACACACATATATATCAGAGTGATTCATCCGAAGGCTTATGCCTCCAACAGGATTGTCTACCATTTTCAAGAAAGAAGCTCTCAGCAAATTAATTCCTTCAAAAAGATTGATATTTGCCCCTTACTACTTGGAATTATAAAAGTATTTGAACAAGAGAAAAAGGAAAGCTTTTGAAAAAGTTATGAGCTTTTGTTAATTCAAATACCGTTA